TTTTTTTTTTTTTTTTTTTATTGATTTTCGTCTGTTTGCTTCATTATGTCATTTTGCTAACAGGCTTCATCTTCAACCCAGACATATCCAATCCAAAAGAAATTCCACACACCAGATTTCCTTCGCCAGTTACCACACTTACGCCTACGTACCCCATTCAATGCCCTTCTCTCTCGATTGAGGTCAGAGTTCATATACCAAGTGACAGAGGAATTCCGCTCCCACCGTCACCTCAATTTCGTCCAGGTTCAGCCACCATTAATTACCTCCTCTGATTGTGAAGGAGCAGGGGAAGTGTTTAGTATAAGGCCTCGAGATGTCGTGATTGAGGAAGGTAAGGCGGTTGAGTTTTTCAAATCGCCTAAATATCTTACCGTGTCATCACAATTACATCTTGAAGCTTACGCAGCAGAATTGGGTAATGTTTGGACTCTATCTCCCACATTCAGAGCAGAGAAGAGTGACACACCCCGCCACTTGAGTGAATTCTATATGCTCGAAGCAGAAATGAGCTATATGGATTCCCTCGAGCCGCTCACTGCCTTCGTGGAAACGCTTCTACGCAATATGACTCAAAGAGTTTATAAATCCCCGGTGGCGCAAGAGCTTTTCAGTTTTAAAGCTACCGATGACCTAACAAAGGATACCAGCAATGCGGATCTAGAAAAGAGATGGATGGCTCTAATGGAGGGTCCTCGGTGGCCACGCATTACGTTCGCACATGCGATTAAACACCTTCATGAGGCTGTCAATACAGGTCGAGTCACATTTGAATTCTCTCCATCCTGGTCGGGGGGCCTGCAGCTTGAGCATGAAAAATTCCTTGTTGATACAATTGGCAAAGGTTTGCCTATTTTTGTTACTGACTACCCTAAGGCTGTCAAACCATTCTATATGCTACCGTCAAGCGGTTCGTCTGACGAAAGCGGGGAGACGGTTGCATGCTTTGACCTCCTTCTCCCAGAGATATGTGAGGTTGTTGGTGGGTCGCTCCGTGAACATAGACTTTCACCTCTCATCCAAAATATGCGCGAGCACGGCTTGCTGAAACTGAAAGATTCAACACCTGAACCCTCGTCTACCGTTGACGCCAAGGCTCCCTACCCTCATCTCCTCGCTAATGAGGAATTAGGCTCGATCCAGTGGTACGCAGACCTGCGAAGGTGGGGGACCGTACCACATGGCGGATTTGGACTAGGCTTTGATCGCTTCGTCGGGTATTTGGCTGGCGTATCCAGTCTCAGAGACCTTGTCCCTTTCCCCAGGCATTTTGGAAGGGCGGATTGCTAAACGACTGCGTGTCTTGGTAGTCTCCACCGGCATACTTGTACGATATATATAGACGAAGGGACGGGCTGTACAAATAGATCCAACAATTGTTTTTTGTTTTTGGTTGACCCGCAATATCCATCAGGTTCGTTTCCGCCTGATGTTTGTTTCCATGGATATCTCCGAATCCTTGGTCAATAAACATCGCAAGCAAGTGATTTATTTACATATCATCTCCAGCCCGTTTTGCTGGGGTAAGGCACCTCAAAGCATATTGGGTTCTCACCTTTTTCTTGTCTCCAGTGTTATCCATATGACAAGTCCTGTTGAATATTAAGTCTCAAGAATATATCCGCATGCCTCAACAGGTGATAGCATTCGACATATGGTTGCGAAACGGAATGGGAACGGGCAAATGGCCTCTCTGTGACCCAAAACCCGAGATAAATTATATCTCCCTCATCTGCTCCTCAAGACTACTTTTTTTCAAAAAAAAGGAAGATATAAGAAAACGACAAGACTTTGGAGCTCTTGGCGCTTATGGGATAGGGCGAAAGTGAAACTGGGGGGATGATCGCTTTGCCCTTATCTGTGTCAAAGTTGGCTGTCTATTTTTGCTTGATCAATCATTGACTGGTTGTCCATCCATCCATCCTCCCTCCCCATCCGAAGCTGATTGATTGATTAATGATTTGACCAACCCTCCACGCCACGGCATCATTCCTAGTCGGACCGCACAGGGAGCCTTCCTGCTCCTTTCAAAAGGAACGAAGGCCAACCCGTCCGCTTCGTTCTTTTTTTCCATGCCGTCCACATGCAACTCGGGGTGAGAATTATCCTGCAGAAGCCGGAGGTCTGGATGAACTTGGGTTTGGCGTCAAAGGATGGATGAATGGGAATGCTAAACCCAGCACTTTCTCACTCTCCATCCTGCCTGCCAACCTTCCCCATCCTTCAGAGGTCGAAACAAAAAAAGCGACCCATCACCATGGCAAGGGTTACAGACTAAGAAGGGAAAGTTACCCCGCAAAGAGCTCAGAAACAGTTTAAGAATCAGAAATCACCTCGTATTCCGATCTCTTCCTGCTGCATCGCAAGGCAAGGATGCTGGTTCAATGTTATGGCCCGACTCAGCATCGTGGCTAGTCAAGGGAGAAGAAAAGCAAGTAAAACGCTTCTCCGTACGGCACCTCCGTTTGCGTGGGATAACTATTTATATTTATTATTAGAATCTCTTCGCATTCAAGTCATGCGAGCGATAAGGTCAACAGCCCATCCCACAATCACTAAACCCAACTCAGATATTAGCTGTTACTTTCAAGGCTGCCGTCCCAAGAAAGAAATGCCACTTTCCCCGATGCATATGATTATGCGAGATTATCACCGACGGACATGCTTGCTTCTTGCAAATAAGTATGCGACGTAAGGTTCAAGGTGGAATATTTTTGTACCTTTTTTCATTTCGACCCTTTTACTCGCACAGCAGCGGGGTGAGAATCAAGCTCAGCGGGTATGATGCGGTCGACCATTCCAACGGTGCCTTGACGAGGTCGCAGCAACCTGGGTCAGCTCAGCAAGTGTT